CACTTTTCGCGTCTGTGTCCACAGGTCTTAGCGACCCTACCATTAACCAGCTCTGGACTTCGTATACGGCCACTCTGTCGAAGATGACCCAGACGCCCGCACCCACACAGACCACCACGTCAACGACGCCACCGCCTCTTCCTGATTTATACCAGTCATCCTACGCCTTCAGTAGCAACAGCAACCAGGGCGCCAGCAGCAGGACTGGTGGTTCTAGCGCCAACACAGCCCAGAGCAGCAGCGGCAGCAGCAGCAGCAGCAGTAATAGTGCACTGAGCTCCCTGTCGTACAATGATATCCTCAGCTTGATCAACAAGCTCTCCAATGGGGGATCAGCCTCTAACGCGCCAAGCAAGACTGCTACGACTGCACAAGACGTCATGAATGCCTACGCTCAGCTCTCGGGTAAGTGTCCATCTTTCCTATCTGTCTGTCTTTCGCTATGCAATTATGTCTGGTTTTTTTTTTTTTTTAAATCTGTCTGTCTGTCTATGATAGAGAGCAAATTAGTAGGCCTTTGCTTAGGTTAAGAACCCAGTGAACACTGTTCTTGCGGGCTAGCACACTTTGCATTCTGCCATCCTGGCAGATTGAACAGCATATAGATTGTTATAGTAAAAGTAAAAGGTAAAGTCGGGAGATGTGAACCAGCGTCATTACACACGGTTATAAACCATGAGTGCTCTGCCACCAGTGAGAACAGCTGATAAGAAACTGTCTGCCTGTGTCACCGTCCGCACGAAACTCCGTTGCTACAGCGACGTTCCTCCATTTATCCCAGAGTGTCAACTCTGGTACCCATTTCCTAGAGGCTGGATGAACCCCGGAAACCGCATCGGTTCAAACACCGGCCGTGGGGTGCAGCGAGTCGCAGCTAGATTTAAAAGCGAGTCTCCTGTCGACTGCGCTAACGCGGCCCCTCAACATTTCAAAAGTAGTTCTCTCACACTTTTTCATAAATATCTCAAAAACATCTCTGGAGATCAACACGATTTTTTTTTTGCAGATGGCTTAAGCCTTTATAATTTATAATTGCACAGGTGCTGCACTTTTCTTAAAGCGGTAAATTAATTTTATCTATGTTTCACTGATACAGTTTACACTAGAAATAGAATAGACAGTACCACACAGGATATCGAGTGTCAGTTGATCTATACAAACAGGATGTTAGCACACATGCATATGAATTAAAATGGAAATGTTAATAAGTTTATGCGATTTTGAATTTTTTTTTATGTAAGGAGCAAAAATTTTAACCTAACCTGCATAATCTGAGACGACTGCGCCAGCCACGCGATTCGTAATCCTCAGGCTTAACGACACATCCTCCATCTCCGCCGGCAGCGCAAGAGTGGTATTGCAGGCAGATATAGGAGATTGGCAGTGGTAGGTTAGAGCCTACATAAAAACCTTTACAGCTTTATTTGCTGTCCTTCCATTGATGTCTGATTTAGAACAATGTCTGTTTTTTCTCTCCCTGACCAGCAGCTGGAAACTCCGGCTCTTCTGGTTCAAACTCCGCCGCTGGATCAACGGGCACGGATTACCAGGCCTTGCTGCAGAAATACATGACATCAATGGCTGGAACATCACCAACAGCTGGCAACAGCGGATCTTCCGGGTCATCGAGTTCTAGTCAATCCTACCAATCGCTGGTGGATCAGTACAATAGTCTGACAAACCAAGGATCTTCTACAGGGTCGGCCTCTACCGGCTCTGCAAGTTACGAGCAACTGTTGCAGCAGTACAACCAGATCATGGGAAAGTCATCAGGGTCCTCATCTACTTCCAACAGCGGCGGCAGCCCGTCGTCGTCAGCGATGGAAAAATACACGGCATTAATATCCCAACCTGGACCTGCTTCAGCCACGGCTGATAAGCAGCTTCAAGAGATGCTCAAATATTTATCGGGGGGTAACACGGCAACCGCAGATGCCTCCACAACCACAACTCCCTCTCCTACATCAGCGTCGCCTCAAGAAACATTTGAGAAGCAACTAGCCACATTCTTCCCGCAGTTCAAAAGTCTTTTCCCGCAGTCGTCTTCAAACGCCAGCAGTGGCGCCGCTGCTGCAAGTACCGACCCAGCTCAGATGATTTTTGATGCGTTGCTCTTCGCGCCCGGTAAACCCGCACCAACCGAAGCTGCGCCTGGAGCACCAACAGCAGCAGCCAAGGAAGCAGCAAACACCACTGCGCCAGCAGCACCAGTGAATAATTCTCCACTCAGTTATATCCAGAATATGGTCAACTCCAGAGGAGGTTCAGAAGGTAAATACCATGTCATCACAACCATCACATTTATACCTCTACCACATCACTTACACTAACATCACCACATTTATACCTCTACCACATCACTTACACTAACATCACCACATTTATACCTCTACCACAACACTTACACTAACATCATCACATTTATACCTCTACCACATCACTTACACTAACATCACCACATTTATACCTCTACCACATCACTTACACTAACATCACCACATTTATACATCTACCACTTCACTTACACTAACATCACCACATTTATACCTCTACCACATCACTTACACTAACATCACCACATTTATACCTCTACCACACCACTTACACTAACATCACCACATTTATACCTCTACCACATCACTTACACTAACATCACCACATTTATACCTCTACCACATCACTTACACTAACATCACCACATTTATACCTCTACCACATCACTTACACTAACATCACCACATTTATACCTCTACCACATCACTTACACTAACATCACCACATTTATACCTCTACCACATCACTTACACTAACATCACCACATTTATACCTCTACCACATCACTTACAATAACATCACCACATTTATACCTCTACCACATCACTTACACTAACATCACCACATTTATACCTCTACCACATCACTTACACTAACGTCACTTACACTAACATCACCACATTTATACCTCTACCACATCACTTACACTAACATCACCACATTTATACCTCTACCACATCACTTACACTAACATCACCACATTTATACCTCTACCACATCACTTACACTAACATCACCACATTTATACCTCTACCACATCACTTACACTAACATCATCACATTCATGCTATTACCACATGTATACTACTACCACATCGGTTACACTAACATCATCACAAGGGCGTCGGAACCTGGGGCACCAGAAGGTCACCTCTCAGATTATTAACATCGGGCGCCAGTACCCCATCTCTCACATAATTTATAAGGGAATTGAGGCTGTCGAACCTCATATTCTAAATAATGTGTAAGGGGGCTGAGGCTGTCGAACCTCATACACTAGATAATGTTTAAGGGGGCTGAGGTTGTTGAACCTCATACACTAGATAAATGTAAGGGGGCTGAGGCTGTTGAACCTCATACACTAGATAAATGTAAGGGGGCTGAGGCTGTCGAACCTCATACACTAGATAAATGTAAGGGGGCTGAGGCTGTCGAACCTCATACACTAGATAAATGTAAGGGGGCTGAGGCTGTCGAACCTCATACACTAGATAATGTGTAAGGGGGCTGAGGCTGTTGAACCTCATACACTAGATAAATGTAAGGGGGCTGAGGCTGTTGAACCTCATACACTAGATAAATGTAAGGGGGCTGAGGCTGTCGAACCTCATACACTAGATACATGTAAGGGGGCTGAGGCTGTCGAACCTCATACACTAGATACATGTAAGGGGCTGAGGCTGTCGAACCTCATACACTAGATACATGTAAGGGGGGCTGAGGCTGTCGAACCTCATACACTAGATACATGTAAGGGGGGCTGAGGCTGTCGAACCTCATACACTTGGTAATTTGTAAGGGAACTGTGGCCACTCGTAACCTCGTATAGACTTTCCTAATTTAAGCGGTCATGGTGCTTTGCTAGAAAATAAAAATAAAAATAAAACGTCGTCACGTTTAACCAGCATTTCCGAAGGATGAGCTTTAGGTTATAATTGTGTCTAGGTTTCGTGCGCCATATAAAGTGACTTAGTCTTGCACGCCACCCGGAACCCTAGAAAGAACTCCTGCAGGGTGGATACGATCAAAGGAGATAAATATGTCCCGCTTGGCAAAGAAAGTCGTCTACCGCTGAGCCAATGGGTGACCCGGTAGACGATGCTCATTTTAAGCATATGTCTATACTTGTTGTCTAGAAAGCAATGGCAAACTACTGGACGTAAATTTGCCTAGATAAACCACACAACAGCCAGGGGCTGCTGGGGTTGGTTCTGCAACGTCCTGTAAAGGATACGCAACTAACCTAACCTATACTTTTTTTTTTATTATAGTGTCTCATCAACTTACGATCAGTTCCACTCCAACTAACAGGTCTACGTCGAACTGGTGGTAGGTTGAAATTATACGTTTTAACACTATTTTTGTTGTTTTATTTAAACTGGCGATTCGAATTGTACATAAAACACAAGAATTCAATATGTACGCATAGTAATTTACCGATGAAGAGATGCAGTGCTTTCACACAGACACAGAAACATGATAAAATACCATTTAGAAATATATATATAAATAATATAATAGCACTGTATTCGTTTCACTCAAAAAATGAGAAACACGGAATACATCCGCTTACACAACATGTAGAAAATTAACAAAGGCGGATGCTGTTTTATTTCCCACATGTAGAAAATTAACACAGGCGGATGATGTTTTATTTCCCACATGTAGAAAATTAACAAAGGCGGATGATGTTTTATTTCCCACATGTAGAAAATTAACAAAGGCGGATGATGTTTTATTTTCAACCAGCGCTGCTCTCCAACCATGTTCAGAACGTCTTCAAGACTAGAGCATCTCGGGAAATGGGCTGTCGCTTCCTGCCGGAGTTGCTGGAGCTAGATGTGCTACCTACTGCGCCAGTCAACTGCATGAATCGATGTCCGTTCCCCTACGTGAACTCACAGCAGTATGGGATTTACTGTGTGTGCTGCCCGCCTGGAGGTAACGTTTAACATTATATTCTTGTATGTTAACTAACGGGCCGGGGAGTGTCGTCTGCTGGCTCTCGGCCCTATTAGATGGAACAGCAAGATGGGTAGTTAGCCAGATGAGGACAGGTACCAACAGTATGGAGACTTCACTGGCTGTTGAGTGCGTGGACGAAGCTAATAGGGGATTGTCCTGAATGTTGTGACGTCGACCCAGATAGTTTTACAGGTTATATCCTTAACTGCACGGGAATAGGCTGCAACTGGCTGCTGTAGCCGTTACTGGTGCCCTAATTATAACTCATTTGGAGGTTGAGAAGGGAAGCCACCTCAACAATGGAAACCTGTCAAGTTTAAATAATTGTTGACCCTTTTGTTTTCTCTGAAATAACATTTTACAGTTCCGGTTGTATACTTTCATGTGTCTGTCTTTATGCTTGTTAATATTTACTTAACATAACGAAATCTAGGCACCTGTCGTGGTAGCGGCTAGACTTTCACCTACAAATCCGAAATCGTAACGGTCTTGAGTGGATGGCAGGTAAAGTCATGGGAAGCACAAGAGGCTGGCGTAATGTGGAACACATCACACACAAACTCCCGAGGTCTGTGTAATTTAGCTCTAACCTCATATGCCCAATACGAATGGAGGCGTGGAAAAGGTTTTTTGTCACTTCTGAAACTGTATAGCTGTAGTTGATCATATTTTAATATAATTACTGCATATGCTCTTTGGCTTAGAGGCTAGCTAATGCAGTTAACAATTTCACGATACTCACGTACTAGGGGTTCGTTCCCCGCAGTAGCCGGTTTAAAAAAAGTGCTCTTAGTTTTCAGACAACGGTACGAGAATCACACTGTGGAAAAGAGTAGGGTCTCAGCAAGTAATATTCCAAAAAGACAACAGCGGTACACTGAAACCGACTTTTTTTTTTTTTAAAGAAAGGCACATATATTTAATAAATGTGTAGTCTCTACTTTTCTGTGCTAACTTTTGTCTGAACTTTTTGTGTGGTAACTTTCGTCTCTAAATTTCTACCTGGTAAGTATTTTTGTTTTTTGTTGTGATTTCTCTTTGGTTGCATATTTGCTGATCAATACTTATGGTCGCAACGCTTTTCGTGTGTGTATGTCCGATGACTATAATTGAGCCATCAGTTTGAGATGCCTGTTCTAGTTTATCTTTTCTTTATTTACTACATATTTTTCAACTGTCTCTACCAACAGTGAACGAGCAGACGGTGGGAATGATGTCCCTTGTCCGAGGCACCAGTTACATGGAGACGCCCCTAACCGTGGTTTCCTGAAGTCCCGTCTTTATATTATATTTTCTAATTATTTCGTGGACTTTGTGTTCGATCATTTTTTCATTTTTGGGACAGCGATATTTCATATAACTGAAAGTATCTTCAAACTGCCTTTGACCTTATTTTCGCAGCGGAACAACTGGGATGAAAGCGAGAGGAAGACCAAGAAAGAGATGGATAAATGGTGTAGCTAAGACCTTAAACAACACCCCACCCCCCCCCGAAAAAAAAATCCATCACCCAAATCTTAAACACTTATAAACAATCCAGTCATCTCTTTGTGAGATACAAGTTTTGGTTATTTGAAGCTCGACTCTGGGTCTTGCCAGGGGCCGCAAAATAGCCCGACCATTAATATGGTCTAATGGCTGAACGCGGTTTCTCGGACCTCTCCACGGTGATCCTCATCCATATGGTGGCACTTTGTGTCATCGGGTGTTTATCGCTTGTGTGATGTCCTGGTGGGGTACAACTCTACTATTACTACTACATCACCCAAGCCATCAGAGAAGGCAAAACACAGACAGAAAAACCAAGACACTGGGAAATAGCCTGGTATCAGTGAGACGAGAAGAAAGTTTCATTACTATGGGCGGGAAAATACTGGGTACAGGTTGGTAATTTAGGGTTAGCGTACCAGACGTGGATCAAGCTTGTGTGAATCTTGGACTCTCATTGTAGCTCTAGGGGTATGTCACTGATGCAAATATGATATTTGGGACTGTCAGTGACTTCTCTATAGTAAATATGTCAGGTGGGGGTGGGGGCGGGGGGGGGGGTGGTCAAATTAAGCTAAAAGTAGACTTTGCCGGTTTCACAATACCACAGCCAAGAACGGCAAATTGAAGGCTGTGGCTAGAAATCATTTTTCAGAATATCATACAAACAGATAATGATATAATTACAAACAAGGATACACAAAAATCACTTATTCTTAAATTGAGTTATAATCAAAATTTACTATAACACGCTTAAAGAGAAGAAGCTATACGTCTGCTTGTTGTAGCGAGAAAACGATGCTGGATAGGAAGTGAGCCAGAGAAATGCGACATTCTTTTAGAATAAACTGCGTTGGACATTAAGGCACTTACTGTGGTAGCAAAGAAACAGGAACCTCAATTTGTATGTTGTAGTCTGAAACATAAAAGGGGCAAAATTCTTCCTAATCAAATGATAGTAACTCCGATGAAGCTGTCTATACCTTTACCGCCAAGAAAGGATGTGGAAAAGGGGTGGTGGGGGTGGGGGAGATTCTTCTCTGTCTGTATCCCCCCCCCCCCCCCGAAAAAAATGTGTAACCTGATGGTTTGACGTCCAGTGACACAAAGAGCCTCTTTTCAGATGCCAGTCCGAAAGAGCCAGATCCTAAATGTGCCGTTCAACTTGATAAAACAGCTGTACTGTAGCCACTACGGCTGCACCAAGTATTACCATATTACCCTGATGTTCTGCGCGGGTGTGGTCAAGGTAGCATCCTCGTATCTTGTGTGATGGGAAAAGGTTCCTTATTTATTTTTCCACTCCGTAATGTTGTCTGAATAGTTGACCTTCCTCGCGTCTTCATAAGTCGTATCCTAGATGGGAAAACCAAGAAGGCAAATTCCAAACACCTTTTCATCCTTCTCGTGGCATGACGTCTGCCTCGGGTGCTGGAGTTCCCGGGTTCAAGCCCTGCTGAAGGCTGGGATGTTTTCATGTGGACTTCTAGTAATTTCCCCTGGTCTCTGGGTAGTCAGAACGGACCCTGTGTGTATTGTTGGGCACGCAAAAAATTCCTTGGCAGTTGAAAATCGCAAAAGAGTAGCCCAACGGTGCTGGAGTTGGTTTGGAGTTAAAAAATCTACCCAAAGTATTTCAGGATCCTCGCCGGTGCTACGGAGTTCGTGCCCTGCACTGAGATGCTTCGGACTCAGGCTTGAGTCACAAGTAGAACTGGGCACTCATGGGTTACTACCCTTTTGCCATGATGTTGATCCGTTGTTTAAACCCAGACCTAAAGTTAAAATAAAACCAACCTCAGGAGTATTAACATGTCTATATGGACTATTGCAGAGACAGTCACTTCCGCACTGGGCTTCACAGTTATAGTACACTGTTCCCAAAGGCAGTGGCAAAACTCCATGGTCTGGCTGTTGCTTATATAATTAGGGCACCTGAGAAAGCTTCACTGTACTACCCCGGCGTATATGCAGTCCTATGTCAGTAAGGACTTTGCATGCAAGAATACAGAAATGGCATGTTTACAGCCAGCGCGTCAGTGGGACGATCAACATGCACCCGTTGCATATGCTGAGCGAGACTGGGCATCTATGGGCTTGCCTGAAGTGCTTCAGTGTTGATTTTTTTTTAAACATAAGCACTGATCGCCGAAAAGGAAATAGCTTTTCTACATAATAAATAAACACAACACTAAAGACGAGACTCCGCATTAAATTCGTTCGTCTTAACTTGACAGACATTTCCGCATTCAAGGGGAATTAAATCAGTCTTACGTCTGAGGTGACAGGTTGTCTCCCCGCGTGATTTATTCCCTTCAACAATTGTGTCGTGTGTAGACGTTCACTAACATTAAATCCACCAGCAAAGCTTTAAATGTTTGACTCTAATATCAAATCAGAACTTTTATACAGAGAACAACTACCTAACTACCGCCGTTTTGCCCTTACTGCCGCTACCTGAAGGTTTATCAACTCGGAGATGACAAAATATCAAATCTAAATGGTAGAACAAGAGGGCTAATTCTAGAAACCCGTGCAACCTCCATAGAAAGTAAAAAAACGTCAATAAGCAATAGTTCATTACTACTTGTCGTCCTTCTTAGGACGTTATTTTTTGTTATTTGAAGCCCCACTCTGGCTTTTGCCAGGGGCCGCAATATAGGCAGGTCATCATTATGGCCAAATGTCTGAACGCGGTTTCTGGGACCTCTCCACGGTGATCCTCATCCGCATGGTGGCACTTTGTGTCATCGGGTGTTTATCGCTTGTGTGATGTCCTGGTGGGGTAAAAAATCCAATCCAATCCATAGAAAGTAATCCAGTTTCGTCCTTTTCAGGACGAAATTTTTTGTCATTTGAAGCCCTACTCTGGCTTTTGCCAGGGGCCGCAATATAGGCAGGCCATAAATATGGCCAAATATCTTAACGCGGTTTCTGGGACCTCTCCACGGCGATCCTCATGGTGGCACTTTGTGTCATCGGGTGTTTATCGCTTGTGTGATGTCCTGGTGGGGTAGAAATTCATTCATTCATTCATTCCATAGAAAGTTATAGTTATGGCACAATTATGTGAACTAATCTGCACACCTGTGCGGGGAAGAGGGTCTTGTAAGTTTAACTAAAATGATTTCCCACCCAGTTTCGGCAGCAGGGTTACGTTGTAACCGTAGGGGTGCTCTAATTGAACTGTGTTATAGGCTGGGCAGAGTTGTGCGATTTGGTCCGGTTTCATTCTCATTCATTAGGGCAGCAATCCCGGAGGCGAACAATTTAAAAGAAGAAGAAGAAGGAGGAGGAGAAGAAGACGAAGAAGAAGACAAAGAAAAAGAAGAAGAAGAAGAAAAAAAGAAAGAAAGAAAGAAAGAAAGAAAGAAAGAAAGAAAGAAAGAAAGAAAGAAAGAAAGAAAGAAAGAAAGAAAGAAAGAAAGAAAGAAAGAATGAATGAATGAAGTAGAGAAAGACAGACAGACAGAAAGAAAGAAAGAAAGAAAGAAAGAAAGAAAGAAAGAAAGAAAGAAAGAAAGAAAGAAAGAAAGAAAGAAAGAAAGAAAGAAAGAAAGAAAGAAAAAAAGAAAGAAAGAAAGAAAGAAAATGAAGAAAGAAAGAAAGAAAGAAAGAAAGAAAGAAAGAAAGAAAGAAAGAAAGAAAAAAGAAAGAAAGAAAGAAAGAAAGAAATTGCTTTAGAAATAAACAGGCTTTTGTGTGTGTGTTATAAACGCATGTAGGCTACAATGCTTTATATTTTTAACGCATTTGTTCCGGGATAGACACAATTCTAAATTATCCCAAACAACTTGCGGTTTGTGCGCCTAAAATAAATGTTTTTAACAACCTTCGCATTCAGAGGTCATGATAAATATAATAACTTTATGGCTGCAAGATTTTTGCACCTGGTGGCTTTCTGTCTGAAATCTGACGAGAATAACGCACAGACATACCACGCTTAGACAAGGGAGACGAAGCAGAGTGTCTCCCCCCGCCCCCCCCCCCCCCTTTTCCCCACAAAAAGGGAGAGTGTGTGTGTAGTGGTTGGAGTCTAAGAAGTGGAGGGCAAAGATGAATCTGAAACAAAAACATCAAGAAATGGACAGGACTTAGTTATCACACTGATTCATCAAGCATAAGACAGAAAGATAGCGGGTTTTGTACGCTAGCGATTCCATCGATACACCTCCATAACGCGATTCCATCGATACAAATCCATAACGCGATTCCATCGATACACCTCCATAACGCGATTCCATCGATACACCTCCATAACGCGATTCCATCGATACACCTCCATAACGCGATTCCATCGATACACCTCCACAAGCCTAACAGGTCAAGAGTTATGTTGATGTGGTCAGGCAGAGCGTGTGGTTGCTTCACTCGGCAGTGTTCAAACAACAAACACGAATAGACAAATGATTCTTACGAGCTATGACACCGAGTGTATCGTGGTGTTTGAGTGGCAATTATGGACAGCTAGATGATTTTTTGAAATCATAGGTGAACGCTGCAAAGCTAACTGATAGTTGAAGACACGTCAACCCGAAGACTGGAAAACAGAAGATACGAGAGGACAAGAGAAACCCATACTACAGAAGACAGGACAACAGCAGCTCGAGAAGACAGGACAGTAGAATGCAGGACAGTAGAAGTCATGAGAAGACAGGACAACAGAAGACAGGAACAGACAGGGCAATACAACATAAAGCTGCAGAAGGCAGGACAACAGAAGACAGGACAACAGAAGACAGGACAACAGAAGGCAGGACAACAGAAGGCAGGACAACAGAAGACAGGACAACAGAAGACAGGACAACAGAAGACAGGACAACAGAAGACAGGACAACAGAAGGCAGGACAACAGAAGACAGGACAACAGAAGACAGGACAACAGAAGGCAGGACAACAGAAGGCAGGACAACAGAAGACAGGACAACAGAAGACAGGACAACAGAAGGCAGGACAACAGAAGACAGGACAACAGAAGACAGGACAACAGAAGGCAGGACAACAGAAGACAGGACAACAGAAGACAGGACAACAGAAGACAGGACAACAGAAGACAGGAACAGTCAGGGCAATACAACATAAAACTGCAGAAGACAGGACAACAGAAGACAGGACAACAGAAGACAGGACAACAGAAGACAGGACAACAGAAGACAGGACAACAGAAGACAGGAACAGTCAGGGCAATACAACATAAAACTGCAGAAGACAGGACAACAGAAGACAGGACAACAGAAGACAGGACAACAGAAGACAGGACAACAGAAGACAGGACAACAGAAGACAGGACAACAGAAGACAGGACAACAGAAGACAGGACAACAGAAGACAGGAACAGTCAGGGCAATACAACATAAAACTGCAGAAGACAGGACAACAGAAGACAGGACAACAGAAGACAGGACAACAGAAGACAGGACAACAGAAGACAGGACAACAGAAGACAGGACAACAGAAGACAGGAACAGACAGGGCAATACAACATAAAACTGCAGAAGGCAGGACAACAGAAGACAGGACAACAGAAGACAGGACAACAGAAGACAGGACAACAGAAGGCAGGACAACAGAAGGCAGGACAACAGAAGACAGGACAACAGAAGGCAGGACAACAGAAGGCAGGACAACAGAAGACAGGAACAGACAGGGCAATACAACATAAAACTGCAGAAGACAGGACAACAGAAGACAGGACAACAGAAGACAGGACAACAGAAGACAGGACAACAGAAGGCAGGACAACAGAAGGCAGGACAACAGAAGACAGGACAACAGAAGGCAGGACAACAGAAGGCAGGACAACAGAAGACAGGACAACAGAAGACAGGACAACAGAAGGCAGGACAACAGAAGACAGGACAACAGAAGACAGGACAACAGAAGACAGGACAACAGAAGACAGGACAACAGAAAACAGGAACAGACAGGGCAATACAACATAAAACTGCAGAAGGCAGGACAACAGAAAATACGAGACGGGACAACAGGGGGCAGGACAACAGAAAATACGAGACGGGACAACAGGGGGCAGGACACCATAAGATCGTCAAAGGAAGAAACAAAAAAAGTTCAAAGCAGCATGATAACACAAGAAGAAAAAAATAGTAAAAGACAAAAATAAAGACTAAAAAAATTTTTTTAAAGCAACAAATGACAAAATAAGACCAAATTACACAGAATCCATTTTTTATTTAAACATACACAGTTACAACAAAACTAGCTTCACATGTATGTAGATTTTGTGTGTATGTTTATTTTCACATATATCTTGATACTTACAAATATTACATAAAAAAAAGTAAAGGACCTTTTTCCACGCCTTCAGGTGTATAGGGCATATAGGGCTAGACCTATAACAAATATTACATACTGATATACAAATAACTATCTAACATACATAAAATAAATAATGCAATCTAAACATAATAGTTTTATATAAGATACAAGGTAGATACCCAATCACATACTGAATGTTATGTGATATCTAACATATGTATTTGGACAAATCATAGAGTATAACACATACATGTGAATATGTGACTATCACAGAAAGCTATTGTTAGGTTTAACATACATAATGCTTGATAGTTTTACACTCCTCATATATTAAACTTCAACACCAGAAGAGTTCTGACAGCAGACAAAGACGAGATGCACGGAAAATGGAAATCTGTGGTACAAGGTAGGGTCCGCAACAAACAGCAGACAAAGACGAGATACACGGACAATGGAAATCTGTGGAATTAGGTAGGGTCCACAACAAACAGCAGATTATACCCAGAATATATATAAAGTGTGAGGCTAGAAGTAGCTGAAAGTGAAAGAAGAAAACAGAAATGGGAGAAGGGGCAGCTGAGGGTAAAGAGAAAAAAGAACAGAAAGAGGAGGAGGAGGAGAAGAAGAAAATGATGAAGAAGAAGAAAAAGAAAGGAAACAAACAAAATTGACAGTTTGTGGGGAGACTGAGAATTTAAAAAAAAGCTGTTGAAAGAAATCAAAAAGAGACCAGAGACATGTTATAGACACAGGAAAAGACAAAAAACTCTTTTTAAAAACCATACAAGAGTTACAATATAGAAGTAGGCGAGCAAGAGTTTAAAAAAAAATGTAAAAAAAAAAAAAACAGGAAAAATTATGGGTTTCCACGACTTCAGGCTTACTGGGCACATAGGGCTAGACCTATATTGTATAGACCAGTCTGCACTCAGGACCTGAACCCACGACCTTCCGATCCTCAGGCGAGTGTCTAGCCACTACACCACAGTGGCTTCCAAAAAAAGAGATAGACAATTACAAAAATGGGAGCATAACACCAAGAGATGGATCAACAGCAGTCTGAGAGAGTGTACAGATGTGATAAGAGAAAATGAGTTGGACCTCCACATCAGCCAACCTTAAATACAAGGATCGCACCTGATTGTCTGATTGTGCTCTTTTTACTATAAGCAAAGAAGTCTCTTTAGGCATTTTTTTCAAAAGTCATTAGCTCAAATTACAAACGTTTGGGAACAAGTTCTTATTATGAATCGTTGGACCCATCAAAGATGCCAACAGCGGAGAATGGAGAGTAAAAAGCAACAGTGAAATTCATAATCTGTTTAAATCACCACTACCTACTGCATCATGAGGGCTAATGGACTACAAAGATTGATTGCCACCTTTCCCTCTTTCCAGATGATACTGTTATTTTGCGCTATGAGGAGGCATGGGACTCACAACTCATGGCAAAGTCGAGTGTGACTAGAAAGACCCGCCCGCGTTAAGAAAAATTCTTCCACAATCACAGCATGCAGTTTCAGGACCCTTGTAGTCAACATTTGTGTTTAGTCTGTTTCTTCTCAGACACTCAGCTCTTATCCTTTCTGCAGTCATTTCTTCTTTCATTCTTATTCCTTTCCTGATGTGCCCACTCCACACAGCATGGTCCATGGCTTTTGTTCCCACAAATCCATCTCAATATCTGTATCACTTATGTCCCGCTTGCACACATCTTTATATAGTAATATAGGTCAGCCTTGACATCTTCGACTCATCTTAATTCACTATAAAGAATTTCCTTAGGGACTCTGCCATCCTCTATTCTCCAGGTGTGACCCAGCCACCTAAGCCTTCGTAGAATGCAATGGTTGGGGCATATAAAGAGAGAGAAGGGATTCTGCCATCCTCCATTCTCCAGGTGTGACCCAGCCACCGGAACCTTCGTAGAATGCAATGGTTAGGCCATATAAAGAGAGAGAATGCCAGATATCACAGACACGGAGACTTTATACACAAAAGATTTGAATGGGAGCAGATCAAGATGTAGACCAAGAAGAAAGTGGACAGATACAGGCAGATCTACAAATGCTTAGAGTCACTAATCTGATAGAAACAGCTTATCAGAGAGATGAATGGAGGCTGGTGATATCTGCAGAAATGAATCTCAAAAACTCGGAATCCTGAAGAAGAAGAACTGCTCAAATTATGCACGAAACAAATACAAATAATGCTCACAGTAAAACGTAAAACTATTAAAAACCTGCAGGTCGGTAAATAGATTTTGAAAAAACTATTTACCTTTTACAACAAAGTTTACCAGTAAATATAACAACTGACAAATTGACACCAAATGAACATGTGGACCAAGGAATAAAATGTATATTTGAAAGAGACCAACAATAGCCCAAGTAATTCATCTGGTATAGTCCGTTCCAAGAGTCATGCTCTCAAACTTCAACAAATATCTTGAAAACACCTGTACGGGTCAAAAACAATTATTGCATGTGGTCTTAGATTTCATATATTACATTTGCACAGGTGCTGAAGTTTACAGCAGTGAATTGCTTATCTGTGAGACTAATAGTAGATATCTGATTACATTTTAAATATTTTCTTTCAAGGACGTGTTATTAACAGGTTGCATGCCAAGTTTTTAACACATTTTAAAAGTTGAGCACCACTTTTTGAATGGACTAAAACAAGTAAATCACCAAAAATGTGTTAGTCCCTTTTAGCTGATTTACTTTTATGAACTGCACCTGTTTCAACTAAATTTTACATCAATCCCACACAACAATATTTGTTACATTAACATGCCATTTCAGAAAGAATTTTAAAAAGTAAAGATCTCTTTTTCATCGGGCATATGGGAAGAGCACCCATATTTTTAAAGACCATCAGCACTAGGTGGGTAATGTTGTCAGCATTACGCCGGCAGTCTTTACTTCCATAGGACGTACATCCTGGTACCCATTTTAGGCTGGGTCGACCTGCGACGCCCCATACCAGGATAAAAATCCATGCAGCCAGCAGTGGGTTTCGATCGCAGTATGTTGGAATTATGAGTCGGACTCGCAACGCCTAAGCCACGGACAACATAGTAAGGCTTTAACTTGAACTTATTTGAAGACACAGCCGTTGTTAGTTTCTTGTAACAAATATTTCTGGTCAAACAATCAAACAGTCTGGTACTTGCCAGTGTGGGTTCAAGGAGGAGGGAGTGGTAGGAGAATAAATCAACCGCTTCTTAACAAACTTGTCATAGAAAAGGGATTAAGGACTTGCTGAAACTGGATGTGTCAAAAGGGTCAGATATCACAGCCTAGCTGTAAACCACAACACAATGTGCCAACTACCAGTCAATTAAGGATAAAGGCAGTAGAAGGAGTTGAAGAAGGAGGAGTAGAAAGAGGAAGAGGAGGAGGAGAAAGAAAAGAAGGAGTAGAAGTAGTAGTGGTGGTGGTAGCACTCTGGTACTAAAAGAGTCAACATTAATAAAGGTACTCCCCCAGCCTGGTTTTGTTATTTGACAGTGGTAGAGCTGGCAGCAAACCCAACAGATTTGACTCTTGGTTGACCTTCTTGGCTGTCTCCTGCCCTCATCTTTGAGCTGCCACCTGCTGGTATCAGAATTTGACAGAATGGTCTCTAGTTACATACAAATATATCGCTTAAATACCATCTTATCATCATCGTTTGCCATACTGTGGCAAAAATAGCCAAGTTCCTCTACAATCACCTTATTTTTGTAATCATGATATTTTGACTGCAAAGCTTCGTCTCTGCCATTGAGGCAACTCATCCAGCAGGTTCTTTCTCTGACTGTACCATCCTTGACCTTTTCAATTGTCAAAACATGTTCCAGATTCTCCTGTTTTGTAACATCACTAACAAATGATGACTGCTTTCTCCACATTCTAAAAAGTGAGTGACTGTCTTTTCCAGACCCTCCTCTCACATAATGTGACAAACAAATGATGACTGACTTCTCCACATCCTCTTTAGTTATAACATCATTAACAAATGATGACTGCCTTTTCCAGACCCTCCTCTCACATAATGTGACTAACAAATGAATTTTCCAGTTTACTGTTACAGT